TGTATTAGATGAAACTTACAAATTCTGTTTGGCAGTTAACTTGGTGGATTCCATCCTAAAAGGCCTGCCTCCAGCGCTCAAAATTGAAGAGAAGCAAATGGAACATGGACGAGATGAAAGTGCAATACCTGTATAAAGTCTATGAGTCATTTTAATAAATAAATTACAGTTAGGTTTTCTACTGTGACCTTGTTATCTTACAACTGATGCATTTGCAAAAATCGTTGAAATCGCGAAATTGTACAATTTAATGGCATGTGGCTAATAGAAGTAGTGAAACAAGTGGATATTATATCAGATATGTTGCATCTGATGTGGGGCAATATCATATTCAATCCCGTGAATGAGACTGGAAGAATAAAGCATTGAGAGGAACAAACGTAATAATCAGGATGTTGCACGAGTTTGGTCAATACCTGTAGTTCAGTCCGACTGATTAATTGATTGTTTGATTCGTTGACATTAAAAATGTCAGGGGTGTGCTAGGTTTCCGGGTCTACTGATTTTTTGTCATTGACCGAAGCGCGATCGCTTCGACGTTATTACGTGAATGATGAAATGATACGAACACTTCCTTGTTCCTGGCTTGGATACATCATTGATCAACATTATGCACATCTATTCTGTCTTGACATCTAATTTTGAATGACGTCTCAAGTACCGCATCTTCAGGCAATTTATGCGAATGGGTTGCCAATGCCGTGTTTATTATATTCAAAGACAAACGAGTAAGGATGTTTAGGTCAAGTCCATGTTTGTTTCCATAGGCATTTCATCGTTTCAGGTTGTTGCACTACTGGGTCACCCAAGCCAGAATATGAAGTTGACCTGAGAGCCGTCAACAGAGTTTACTAACTCACGGAATATCTAGGCGGTGTTTGGTCCGCAACTCGTGTTAAGCCAACATCAATTCTGTCAAATCCTTCGAACGAGCCCTCCACGATTATTTGACGGTTGCTTTCTATATCTAATGCACGACTTGAGACATCTTTGGAGCCGTCGTGACATCCGGCTGTACTTGAGGGGTCGAGTGTATGCTTTAGCAGTTCGGCCGATGCAGCTATATGATGCAGAGACTTGGCCATTGCGGGAACAGGGTAAAAATAGACTCAGCGTTCAAGCATCGCTGTCCGCGTCGCATCGAACGAGTCTAGTGAATAGCAGAAACTCGTTTTTCTACTACTGGTATAAAAATTCAGGATCATTTCTCATTTATCTAATTGCCGACGTATTCATACCATCTGAATCCTTGCTGTCTTAGAAAATATCGGTCGTTGCGTCTCTATTTTTGTTTCTCAAACATTTGAGGATGAATGGCATGTTTTAAACCCCCATAACATTAATCTGTTTATTACTCCCTTCACCTTTTTCAGGGTTTCTTTCGACGTGCGATTCAACGAAACCAGAGTTACGTATGTGCGCGAACCGGTAAATGTGAAGTGAACCGAGCGCTGAGGAATAAATGCCAGCATTGTCGTTTACTGAAGTGCCTGGCAAGTGGCATGTCAAAAGATTGTAAGTGTTCTATTGCACATATGGTTTTAGAAAAGTATCCATGGCGGTAGCATTGTATTAGCCACATGTAAATTGCTTTCAATTACAGATCTGCATAGGAGTAACACTATACTGAATAAACGCAGTGTTTACTAAATTTCCTTCTCTCGATACTTTGCTATAGTGTATCCTTTTTATTATTTGCTTCGTTGTTGCCCTATTATCCTATTCAGCGGTCCGAAAAAAACACCCAACCACTGGAGCTGGCTCGTCATCCTCTTCCTCGTCGTCTTCGGCATCCTCCCCGATGAAAAAATCGAACACTTCCTCAGATGGAACGTGGAAATCCAGTCTGGGATCACAGAGTCCGTGTGTGCCGCTGTCTATCACTCGCTCGTCCACACCGAACACTAGCCACACAAAACGTGAAATGTTTCCGTCGCCCGTAGTGAAACCTGGTCAGTCTGGTGTATCCTCACGACCCAGTGCACTACTGTTGCTGTCACAGCAGGATCAAAATGTGCTTTCGGGATTGTGTGATCTCATTCAGTCGAGTAAAAAACAGTCGATGATTCAGACTCCAATGGAGGTAGGCTATTTTTTGCATTATACACTTGTTTCCGTGGTGCATTCCAGCTGTACTTATTTGGCGTTTTTGCTCAAGAAAGACTATTCTCTGAAATTATTGGAATTACCCAAACAATGACGTGGAAGGATAATAAACTCACGACTTTGTGGATGCTTTCCTTATTCATAAATAGAACATGTAAAGACAAGCCCTAAGGTTTACAGGTGTTCTTTATTGCATACTTAGATCTCTCATAAATTATAAACTCGTTGCAGGCGGTATGCGTTAAATGTTAATCTGAACTGATCATAATTACCATGGTGTGATATTGATTCACTGTTGTCTTTTGTGGTTATTTATAACTGTACTGTGTAGCGCAGGGGTAAGGGCTTGAGGTTCCAACCCGAAGGTTTGCAGTTCGAGTCCTGACAGCGACACTAAAAGAACGCACTACTGACGAGCCCCAAACAGGACGAAACACCTGTCCAGTTGTTCTTGTTGGTTACAACAAACATTTTCATCGCATTGCCCCATTACATTTTCCATTGGTACGTAGTCGTTATGTGATTGCCGATTATTCACACCTCGGAACGTATAAAGTGATTCCTTGACTTGACTTCTCAATTATAAACCCCAAAACTTTGTAAGTGGTGACCTCAAGGGAGGTATTCATTCATCGGGGATGATATCATTTCTTATTTTCACCATTTTTTAAAATTTTGAATGCAAGTAAATGATTCAGTTTTTGCAACCATTAGCCACGCACCTTTATGTGGCGGTTTCGGTTGCCCATTTGGATAGAAGAGCAGAAGGAGGATTGGACTACTGAGAGCAGAGTCAAGGAAGGACTAGGGTTGCAAGGTTTGAGAGTTACTGCATGATCGCCACTGTATGCGACACTTGGTCCATCTAACCACTGGTTACCGGAATCTTGAGGTCCCCATCAAGGGAACCCAACGCGACCTACATGATCGGGTTTTCACACCCTATGCATTAATTACCTAGTGGTTCCATAGAACGAGATGAAATTTTCCCCCTTCACTTCACGTGGCGACTTCATTCATTGAGGTATCATTCCAATCCTCCAAGTCGTTTGTTTTTAAACTTAACAATTTACTTCACACGACTCCCCCGCTGTAGGTCGATCTCATGGATCAAAATCATCCAAAAGCCCCATGGTAATAGGATTACGAACCGTGTCTCCAGCAATGGCCGGCATTCTTATTTGAGACTGCATCCCCATCCAAGAACGGAATGCAAAGCAGCAAAGCTGTTCCGCTCGAGTCATTAATTTACCTCATTCGCTTCTTCGGAAAACATTGTGGAGTGAACAACAACGATCGATTACTTTTTGGTGTCGTACCACGTTTTTACGTCGCGGTATCACCCTCAGATCCTTTTACTGTTTTATAGAGAGGTTTGCTAAACAAAAAATCACTACTTCCTTCAGCACTGTCGTTGCCTGTCCACAGCCACTTATACAGTTGGCCTGAGTCTACGTTACTTATGACTAGTTATTTATATATTGATCCTTTTATTCTCTGCGGCTTCGGGAGGCTCCAAGTAGCATACAGCTCTCTTCCTAAGCTCAATAACATCGCCTCCATTCGATTTCGAACTGTAACAAGGGTTTCAAGTCTCTGGTGTTTTCAAAATGGGTTGTTAAGGAGCCACACTCCACAAGAGGCATCTGGAATGATTCGGGAGTGAGAAGAATAACTAGGCAAATGGATGCCTAAGACTTGAGGAACCCTAACCAGCCTTCGACTCAATTATATATTGTCACACCAAAATGCTCGGTTAATGTTTGTCTGAACTGAACTGAAATGCTTCACAGGCTTCATGATTAGTTACTTTTTGGGGTTTTGAGTTCGTATCTCATCATCTGGTTAAGTATGATTAGTTCTTAATGGAAATAAGTGCGTATAGGAGTCACCGCATAGCATTGTCCACTCGACGACCCGACAACATCAAATCTAATAGATCACGGGCACGTTCAAACACTAAAGAATTTATCGGATTAATTGACTTTATGTAAATTCCTAGCGACCCAGTCTCTTCTACCGATTCCTCACCTCCAGTGTTCTATGCAATACCCCAATGTGAGTTGGTTTTGATTATTTTCTCTCTGTTTTATTCCACTATGATGCGCAAATTTGTGCACCAAGCACTCGTTCGGGACCTCCGGCGATGCAACCAAGGAAATCATCAGATCTGTGGATATGCTCTTCTGTCCGGCCCAGTTTGCGTTTGCTCATCATTTCGCCGGGTGTTTGGATGAATTCAGACAACTGTGTCAACATGATCAAGCCATTCTCTTACGAAGCAGTCTGATCGAGCTAACGGTACGTTCGTTTGGGTATAACCTAATTTTATTTGATTATGCAGCATTGTTCCCCCTCGGGTGTCTGCTGAAGCAAGTCCCATGCTACCGCCGTTTTCACATTCACGTTCATATCTGCTGTCCTAAGGTCACACTGAGATGCATTTATATAAACATTTGGACAAATACTCAACCGCAATTGACAGAAAAAAATAGGTTTCTAATTTCGAGACGCATATTTGATAGATTACTCTACTGTCCCAAGGTATTCGGTGAGGGGATAGACTAATGAGGGATACCCACAACTTAATGCTGTTCGAGTGTTTTAAATCGTCCCCAGTGCACCTCGATTTAGGATACAAATTTCCTCAAATGCCCAGCTTTGTGGATAGATTATGTCATGTCCGTCCCGGTGGATTTTATGTGGTCCGCCATTCAAACTGCGGGAGTTCCCAGGGCTTCTCTACCATTTTAATGCTTCGGATTGTATGCCGAATTGCACAGATAATTTTCGGCCAGAGTGAAGCGTCCGAACACACGACCTGCGTGGCGATCGGATGGTGTCACACATCTTTTGATTACCGCTGGCATGCACCAAAAGGAACAAAAAATCAGTGTACGGTCAATATTTTTATGGAGGGAGAAATGAGAAGCAAAGTCATGCAAATGCATGCCTTTGGAAAAAATCAAACCAATAATCCATTGCGTTTCTTCCATACACAGACTTCGAAGCATTGCTTCTGTCTGTTGGGAACATAGAAAAGTGAAGAAAAAACGATGACGAGATTCGTCGTCGTGTGTTGGGTGAGAATAGTCGCTCTAAAGCAGAAGTAATCTCTCTACACCTCCTCCGATGGCTTGGTCACGTATTGCGTAGGGCTACCCATCGGCTACCTTACTGTGCTTTCTTTGCACATGCCGGGCTGGGTTCGATTAATGCGACCGGCCTTCTAGATTGGCGCCCAAGGAATGAGAATGGTCGTTGGGTAGAGACGTAGAGAGATGTAGCTCAGAATAGAAGTCAGTGGAGCGCGTGCAGTGCCATCTGCCTGTTCTAAAAAAACGATGAACTAACACACGAATGGCAAGAACCGCGAGAGCGTTTGCGACCTTCCAGGAAATTTTATCCAGTTGTTCGCACACCACCTGTTGTAGTGTATAAATTATTCAACTTGTTTACCAAACTAATCATTGGTACGATAACCTTTATAAGGCGGGAATCAGTCCATGCTTTATGCCATTGCATAAGTTCGAGCGCCACCGAAGCTCCGGATTGTTGCACAACTAGAATACAATGAAAAGTCGCTTCTTTTTTATTCACAGGAATTGTTCATAAGAATTCAGATTTGTTTTCCATATTCAGATCCTCGGCTGGTATTCATCGTAATCAACGTGCCTTGGTAGGATCATCATTCTCGCATTATATAATCTGACTATATTCACGACATGAAATGTCTACCTCGCTTGCTTTCTGTGATCAGCATGCTTGACTAGGATTGTTAGTTTGATATTTGTGATATCCGCGTCAAATGATGTCCTAGCCAGTGTTCTTGTCGTCGTTGCTGCTTTTGTCGTCCTTTAAGACACTTAAAACCGACTGCCTCATTCTATTTTATCTTTCCTACTAGACATTAAAGTAAACCACGGTTCTTTTCAAACCCACGCAAATGCTGTTTCCGCCTGTGAGGCATACTTCTAAATATAGAAGTTAGTTTGCAATGCACTGGTTCATCTCTCGAAGGGTGAGGTAATCATGTGATCTGCGTCTCGGATCGTGTCGTGCATTTCACCCTCAAGTTGAGTCGATCTTCACCCAGCTGCCTGCCAGTCTAGGAAACTTGGCTATAAAAAACAAAACATTGTTCTAATTTGTGTATTGTAACTGCTTGTTTCCGAATATCCGAGCAGCCTTTTGTCGACATGTATATACCAAACATCGTGGTCACGTGCTTAACACTACTGTTTCCTTCCTGTTCATTCTGATTTGAAAGCCTGGATGTGGTGACTTGTTTCTGTATGTATATTTAGCAAAGCGGATATAGTTGTGAACGCAATGCTAGTACGGGAGCACTGGAAACAAATGGTTGCGGTAACTCTGGATTGTCATCGTCTGTCGTGCTCCCACCGAGTTTCTGTTTCACTTTGATTCATCAGTAGACTGATGATTTATAAAAATCGAATAACCAGGACCATTTTTAATCGCGATTCTCATTGTAAACAATGTAGTCGCAAAGGATCATCGCTCATTTGTGGGATCCGCAACCTCACTCTTGGGACTTGGGTCGGTGAACCACATACGGCCCTAGTAGAAAAAGTGTGGAGTTGAACAGAGGTAAGGCAAAGCCACCCAACGCGTTGATATATTTTGAGACTTTATTGCTAGTTATTAATCTACTTGGATATGGTTTTACCTAACGTTTACCTCCAACATGTGTGGATTGTGATCCCCATCGGTTTTTAACTTCCCTATTTTTCGTTGCTTCTGCTATATGATTTGCCTCTTCCTCGCATCGTTTTAATATTTTAGTCATTCAGGAACTATCGTCAATCACTTTGATTTTTCTTATCGTCTCCGATTCATAGCTCCTACTTCTTTGCAACGAGTATCATCCAGGGCCACTCGAGTGCTCCGGGTTCGTCCTGCAGTCCAGTAATACCGGTGCACAGCCCTATCTTATCAGTCCATGGAACTCGAACTGGGTCCTCACTGAAGCTGCATTTGACCAACTTCATCTGTGCGACAACTCCTGGACTCCGACCAGAATTTTTCAGTTTGCATCACGTCTCAATGCACTGCAACTCAGTTTGGAGGAAGTTGGGCCCCTCATCGGACTGATTTTGTTCACTCCAGGTATACACCCACAGCCTACACGGTAAAACACCCATAATCATGTTCGTGGTTGAACATACGGTCTATGCGTTAGTTGTGCATCATGCTTTAACGAAATGCTGATATCAGATTTGCGTAGATAGTTGGCCTGCATAAGAAGACAACTACGCAAGTTCCATGATCATCCAGCTGACATGCATGTGAAGTGTATCAGACTGCTGGTTTAGGCTATATTGTATCTGGACCCTTAAATCTGTATGTTTCTGGGTTCAGATACTTCTTTTTTTCCGAGACAGATCAGAACAAAAATTTATATATATTTCACACTTGTCTGAGGACAGACTGTGTGCCAAACAAATCATGGTACAATCATCTTTATAAAAAGAAAAATGTTCCATGATTGGCTTGTGGGCTGAGTACTGCCAGGTTGCCCAGGCCAAGGCAGGTGAATTTTCTTGAATCCACAACCGGAGCCTTCGGCTAGCCAAAGCCTGACCCGCAAGGCAGCGGGGCGGTGTGCGAAAACCGCAGTCCATTGGGAGCCGGTGTCCAGTTCATCGGATCATACGCCCTTCGGACGGGGCCAGATGTCCAAGGTGCCCAATACACCTCAATGCCCAATGGAGCCGGTGACCACTGCCACAACCAAAAAGGTGTGGGTGTGATTCGTACATCTCCTCATGGTTGGTTTGGAATCAGGGTTTTTGGCCAACTCCCCTAGGTGAACTGCCAGTGGTCCACCAACCCGGCTATAGCCCCGGATATCGGCTTTTCGTCCTCTCACTTTGGTGGGAAAACACCTCCGCCGCGAGAAGGCAGTGAGTAGGGCTTCCTCAGCAGAGGCTATTTGAGACGCTTGGTCGTATGGGGGCATTTCGTGAGGTGCAAGGGCAGGGTGACCAGCCGCAACCCTAGACACCCACCCCCAACCATACTGAGGCCTTGGGAGGCGTAAGAGAAGTAAAGAAGTTGTTGATCCAGTTGAAGCCGTTTACCTTGGCTAATGGTCCGATTACTGTAGTATACAATTGAGGTAAACACCTTTTTTGTTGAGTTCCAAAAGAGAGTCATATTGAGACAGATAATGATTTGTGATTTTCCGAAGAAACACATCTTTGTAATGTGCAATGTTTGTTTTCTGCAATTCGGTGGGGCACTCTAATTTGGTCATTTTTGTTACTGCAGTCACTAAAGCCACGGCCATCTGGTCTATCGACGGTCTCTGTCACACTAACGTACAAACGGGTGAGCGATAGTCGCGATTGACGGGTAAGAGGGTATGTGGAGTAAGATGTCAAGTCAAGTCATACCTTAGCGATCGATATCCGCCTTCGCGTGGACGCTCCTGTATGAATAAACGACAATCGCCCCTGTCCTCACTAGAGCACCAACGAAATTCGACAGGTCACTGGCCAAAGGTCATCGTAACCCGGGTTTAAAGCGCCCCTGACTGCTTGACTAATGCAATTCTAATTTGTGAATCACGTTATGTCATTAGGTGTTGAACTCCATCGGTCGATCACGTTTACCAACACTGCCATAGCGAATGTATCCATCGGTTTGAACTTACACTGACAACAACAAAAGCGAACGAACGAATAGATGTCTGCAGACGCCAATGGTGCACATTTTTCACCAGTGAACCATCGGTTTGAAATACGGGAAAGAAATCATCGTACTGAGTTCATCCCATTCCGGATAGTTAACTTATTTTAGATGAAGTGATTTCTTTCGACTTCTTAATTTGTTTCATTAGTCCCACAGAACACATTGAGAACAACAGCGTGGAGCCACGCTGTTGCTCTTATTGTGTCCTTTGTTGTCACTGTGTTAGATCTGGTTCATTCTAGTTTCCTTCGACTGGGTTAATGATGACGCTGTGGTTAGTATAACTAAAACAGTTGTAAACTATGGTGGGTGCCATATACTGAATTCTGTAGTTAGCCTAGCATTGCAAAGGAATGATTATGCGCTAACTGGGTTAGAAAAAATCCCCCTGAAAAAGGTAAGTAGTTTCGGAAAAAACAGACACTTGAAACTGAAGAACGGATGAATACCGGATGCGATGTTCTAGCATTAGGCTGAATGCACTATAGATTTAAATTTGTTAAATACATAAAGGATTCGCAAGGTGGTATACTTAAATCTCTTTATAAATAACCTACCAACTGACTGGTCATTTCGTGCATTCATTATCATAACCGGCTTTCATTAATTCCTCCTGACAGGGGTACAGACTATTACCAGTCGAAGGAGTTGCTGGCTTCTGAACCCGTCTCCAGGTTGAGGACAAAGCGATCATATTAATAACTGATCGCGAATATCTGGGCATTGTTTTACTACACCTTTTTCCATGAAGCTGTCCCAAACCCGCAGTCTATAAGCATCGACCCGTAATGCTCTAGCCTTGGCCCACAATCCTTTAGCCAAAACCCGTAATGCTTTACCACAACTCGTAGTCCTTTAGCCCAGACGCACAAACTTCAGTCGCGCCGCAGTAGGCGAGTCAGATCAAAAGTTTTGGGGAAAAAGTTTTCTACAAATGTTGGTGTTGTAAAACTGCGTTCGTTAACCTTTTTATCGCATCTCGTATGGCTTCAATGTTTTTGTGTAACATGCTATACTTCTGTGAGTAAAAATCTCTAGTGTAGCACAAACGGTACTTTGTTTTGCATTCGCAAGCCCTGAAACGTTATACCAAGAAAAATTGACTGCTTGAAATGGCGTATCTGCATTTGAGATGTGGATACCTTAACAGGCCGAGTATGATAAACACTGTTCACAAGACACCCCTTTATCATGCTTTTTCCATAAAGCTTTCGACAAAGTCCTTAATTACTAAGCCTCGACCGTCGTTATTATGTCAAAAGTTTCAGGGTTAATGAATTGATGTTAATAATGGGATGTACTTCTTTGAACGGTGTTTATTATCCTCGGCATGTTTATGTATCCGCCTCATGAATGCAAAACAATGTGCCGTTTGTGTTACTCACAGGAGTATCGCATGTTACGCGGAAACACTGAAGCTATACAAGGTGCCCCAAATGGTTTGACGAAACGGGCACATCGTTTAAACCTCCAATCAACGTGTAGTGGGTGCAGCCTGCGACCGACCGCCACGCCTCATTTATTAACGCAGTTTTGCAACATCCACATCTGTACAAAATAATTATCTCGTCATCCGTTTACTTCAGAATATTCCTATAATTTTTGATCTGACTCGCCGACTGTGGCGCGACCAAAGTTTGTGCGTCTAGGCTAAAGGCCTACGGGTCGTGGCTAAAGCTTGATGGGAAAAGGTGAATATAGACAATCGCAAATGAGCAGCGGTGATGGCTGAGGATGTAGCCCGTTTTCGCCCGGCGAGTAATCTCTGTAACAAAATTTCCCCAATGTTGATAATAAGCAACGTAGAGTGCTTGAATATAGCTCGCTACGAAATAAGCCCATGTTGATGTGGTAGCAGTTGACTGCGGAAGAACTAGGGGCTAATTCTCAGATAAAAAAACTATGATTCTTGCCGCTTTGTGCCACATGCCCAAGATTATTCACGATGGCCTACGCTCAACCCAGAGTAAATCGCCTGAAAGTAACATGAACTGTGGGATCCATCGATTTGGGTCTAACGTCTCCTAACCTCCCTCGTATTTCTGTTAACCTCGTTTTTTGGTGCATTTTGATGAGAGATTTGTAGGCTACTTAATCGGTAGCGACTGATTCCGTCGGATAGTTGTTCACCAATTGAATTTGTATACCTAGCTAAAATGTGATAACGTACCGGGTGCATAACCTAAATGAACGTGACAATAAAGTTTTTTGGTTCTCTTCCTTGCAGAACGTGCCGATCTGTTAGATACGGACTCGGTTAGTCAAATTCAAGGCGTTTGGGCTGAGCTTCTTCGGCGGTTGTGTGAGAGTCGCGGTTCTCAGACTCGTTGTGCCCATTTGATCCTCCTTCTGTCCACTCTACGCGAGTTTTCCTCCCGTATTGTACACAATCTACATTCGTTTTTCCGTTCCACGGGCATTCCAATCCCGGATTGTGTGAGAGATTTCCTTCATCCAGCTATGGATTTTACAGACTACCTTTAGATGAACTGGATGCTTGTTAGCGGCCTGACAGATGTTGGATAATGCTGTTGTCAATTAGTGTTCAAAGCCATGCGTACAGCTCAATACACAGACATTTTTTTACCGTTTTTTCGGTTTACTTTAATCATCTCCCCGGTGACCATCGTATCGTCTGGCATGCTGCCCAGAAGACTTTCGGTTGGACGGTGATGGATGGCATCGCCAATACTGTACTATACGTTGGGTGTCGCAGAGTGATTTCGGTCTCTGTGGTGTCTTGCTCGCGAACCTCAGGGCTGTTCAGATCAGGACTATTTTGCTATTGGCTTTCATCTCATTCTTCTTTGTCATTGTGATTCTTCTATATCGGCTGGGTGAACAACAAGAAATCCACGCATCCTCCTTTAGCTGTAGTAGTGATATATATATATATATATATACACTTGCATTAATCTAGTTCATCCCAATTATTATAATTTCAATCGAATTTTTTCTCGCTATCCATGGTCCGTGTGTGTATTTCTTTCTCGTGTCACTCGGTCTACCTCTCACCGGCTGCCCTTCACTCCTCAATCCTCATACATCTCGGCGACTGAGACATTTTTTGTAAAACAGAAGACATTAAGGTACATAACTGATGGTGGAAATGTTTCTATTCGCTTTTGGAGTCCTCGCATTCCTTTTTGCGGAATTGAATCAATATTGGCGCCAAATTCTAATCCAGTCTGTTATTTTTCTTCTTTTCTCTCTCTATTGACATTTGCTCTGTTGCTTCCAGCCATTTGTGACTTGCTTTTTTACGTGCACTTATTCGGATGGCTAGTTTCTGTTTATACTTGCGTCTCTCTGTATCGGCTGTTGTGCCTCTGCTTGTTCCCCCGTGTGCGATTGTAACGAGCTGCACAGCGCATCGTTTCCTCTTGGTCTCAGTTCGCATGTACCAAAAATCAGTTATCCAATTGTCTCTGGCACGAGTTCTCAGTTGTAGGATAAAGGGGGATGGCCATACTGTTTTCCCATCAGTGTAAATGATGGTGAAGGACATTGTTCCATTTAAGCACCCTGAGGCATTGTTAAGCATTCGTAAGAACCAACAACAAAACATGTTCTACAAATACATGTTATAGTTTTACGTTACACACGCATTCACATTCAAACTGTGTTACGAAAGAGCACAGTACAACAGTCTCTCTAACAGAGAAACAGGTCTTTGATTCACTCGTGCGCGGAATGCTGACAAACTGCTCACTTCAAAGTAGGTGATTTTTCTTGGGGAATTTACAGCTAAAACCTGATGCGTAAGTCAACAGGGCGCTACGTAAAAACCCACAATCCAATTGTTGCCGGTGTCCACTTCATCCGATCATGCTTCCTTTGGATGGGGACAATGGTCCGAAGTACTCAATTGAGCAGGTGACCACTGCGACAATCGGGACGGTTTGTATGGATTTCGTACGTTCCTT